AGTAAATTTGAGTTTAAGAGAAAGCTTGATAACTATATGAATGATAAGGGCTAGCTTTAAGACTTTTTATTTTATTTATTTGTTTAAATTAACACATTTGATAATTTTAGTTTAGTTTAGAGGATGGGACAGCTGAGACAGACCAACAGGTCCCTTGCTGTCCCTAAACATTATGTCCTTATTCGATGACGAGGAACCCACTTTGAGACTAATAATGGCTAGAGACGGTTTGAATGGGTAATGAAGAAAAACTTTAATATAAGTTTAACATAACAGCAAATGTACCTGATGCTTGTTATGCTACAACTTTTAACACAATAAGTTTATCTTCACGAAATGTTGCAGATTATTAGTAAACATTACAAGGCTTTCATATACAATTTTTTAAGTAATGTTTTTCTCATGCATTTTTTCTTTTTGAATGCTGACCATCCAACATGATAAACAACACTTATGAAACAGAAATTTTCAAACTTCACAAGAAAAATCTTTATAACCTCCAGATAATTGTCGTATATTGTTTTTAGAAAAACTTTATACTTTATCTTTTACTTTCACTACTGTATCTCTGTACTGGTTTGGTCAATTTGACCGACCTTGTAACCACTATAAAAATTAGGAAATAGACATAAATTATGCTTTTTTCGTTCTAGAATGATTACAGATTCTAATACAAAACACAAATGTTTAGTCTAAATAGCTTAAATCTCATAACATTATACATCTTAACATATATTTTTATTTTATTGACCTTTCAGCCATGCCTGAATAACATCACAGGAGTTGCAATGATGCAGCACACGTGTACTCATATTACCATATCCAAGAATATAAAACTGGCCTTTACAAAGTGACCTTTCATGGCTGTGTTCTAGTGGACCAGTATTTTGTAAAATACAGTCATGTTTCAGTTATAATACATTATACATGTATATACATTATTACTACTGACAAATAAGCTATTAAAGTTGTTATTTTTCTTAAAACATAGAAGAGTAAATAAAAAAGTATAGGAAACAATTATATCTTCTAGTTATGAACTTTGTACTCGTTTGCTGTTTGCCGTAACTTGCTAAGCCTTATCAAATTTCACACATGGAGGATGTAAAAATTTTTTTTTTGTTTTATATTTTGAAATAAAAAATCCTAAATTACTACATCGATAACACAGAATTCTACCATAATTTATCAAGCTTAGTAACTAAGCTGTATTTGGGTCTAAAAACATATGATTTTGCGAGCTCATTAATGTCTGACCTTACAGCTTGGAATCTAGCATGAAAAGAAATAGTTTCCCATGCAAATGCTTCACAGAGGCTGAGAAAACCACTAGGGGGACATTCTCAGCTTTTGATTGGTTATACACACGGCACTGGGTGAAGTAGGTGTATGTGACCAAGTATTTGGAAAAACTGATTGATTCAACAAGTATATTAATATCTCAGAAAATAGAAAAGATAGGAGGTTCTTATTTTACATTCTAACTTATCAATATCGGTAATTTCAGTATCTAATTCATAAGAAACTATAGACTTTGTATTTGGACATCACAAACATCTAATTTGAACCAATAATCCATTCAACACACAGACATGTTGGAACTGATACTGTTGCTCTGAAGATGCTTGTTGAGTTTAACCCAAGGCAACACACTCGTGAAATGGCCCTGAAATTGTGTGTCTCTCATGAAACAATA